ACGGAGTCATTATTTCGTCTAATACCACCGCAGTTGAGGAACCTTCGTTCGATGCTGACGGAGTCATTATTTCGTCAAATTCCACCGCAGTTGAGGAACCTTCGTTCGATGCTGACGGAGTCATTATTTCGTCTAATACCACCGCAGTTGAGGAACCTTCGTTCGATACTGTACGAAGATGTAATGTTGGGATAGCATCAGGACGTAACTTTCTAGTTTTTGAAGGAGAATAGCCCAGCAATTGTTGTTGTAAGTTCTTTGTAAAACATGCATCAGAAAAATGCTTTGAACATATCCTAGCTGAGAGAACCAAACAAAATTTATATTCTGTACAGGCTCATAATAATAAATACATTCAGAAGAAAATGTGATACAATATTACCATATAAAGATACATAACTTACAATATTTTGAAATATTTTTTTTTCCACATGCTTGATGCCACTTATTGGAAAGTACTGGATCTTTTGGGAAGGAAAAATATTTTATCTTTCCTCCAATCTTTTTGGTTTTTGCCAAATAATTTCCACATCCGTTCACGTTACACGTCATTGTAAAAAAAATTCGAAAATGAAACAAGTGACTATATTTTCTCATATGACCGAAAAACAACTGCGTACTCTGTCATTTTAGCTATAATCGCAGCCGAATACGCTACCGATCATATCCGATTCATCCAGACTCTACACGAGTATGACGTAAGCTTGGACAAAATACGGCGAAGTGGTGGGAATGCGCAGTGGTCTGACACGAAACGAGCATACCCTTGTCTTTATACCATGGCTAGTACTAATGAAAATTGTAAAGTAATAAAAAATCTCGTCAGAAGGACTTATTACTGTGTACGAGCAACACCGACTGACAAGACGTGACAACAACTCGAGCTTTTATAGTTTATCTATAATCGGGAGGTAGGCCTTCGAAAGCCCCTCCATATCCGTTGCAGGTTGAGTCCATGCGTTTGTCTTCTGATGAATATTATCTCCGAAATCAATCTCTTCCTGTAGTGAGATTGCTCGTCCAATATTCACTGTCCCAGTCAAAATCATGTCCCTTTTGCAACCGATGTTTCGTTATAACATTGCGAGCAGACGTGTTCCATCGGATGTGGTTCTTATGTTCCGTGATTCTTGACTTCAGTTGTCTACACGTCTGTCCCATATAACTCGCGTCGCAGCTCTTGCACGAAATCTTATAAACAACCTTCTACTTCTTATAACGCGGTAAGGGGTCCTTATGCACCCTAATAAATTCTCGCAATTTATTAACACTATAAAATGACACCCTCATATTGATTAAATTTCTCAGTAATACCACGAACGAAACGGACAGTGAACCACGAAGGCTGTACTACATCAACACTATTATCACTAACAACAATCTTCCTATTACTAGCTATAACAATATTCTTCAAACGGTTGTTAATATTCTCAAACATAAAACTCAAAGGATAATCATTCTCTAACAATAACTTTAATTACAAAACACAAATTATCAAAATGGAATTTAGGATTCGAAAGCAAAATCAACCTATCAACTAATCCCGCGATTGTACCTATTTTTTGAGAAACCGCGTGCTGTGACTAAAAGTTCAAATATCTGCCCGAAAAGGTTGGCTTGTGGTACCAATCAAACTCTATCAACTCATTATCCCTCATCACTGTAACATCCAAAAATTTAACCTATCACCTCCCACCTCCATAGTAAACTGAAGCCTAGGATGCTGAGAATTAAAGACATCAAGCATGGAACTAACCGGCGAAGAAACAGGCGCTGCCATGATTATATCATCAACATACCTATAGTAAAAGGGCAACGGAAACTGAATCAAAGACAAAGCTCTACTCTCCAATTTACGCATAACTAAATCCGCGATGACGGGAGACAACAGGGAGCCCATGGGAGTACCATAATTCTGTTTATAAATAACACTATCAATATTCTTTCTTTTTTCAATTTGTTTGTTCCGTTTTTAGACCGGAAATAGTTAGATTACTAAATAAAAATCTTTCAATGCTTATTAGAGCCGACACAGGATATAATGTGTAACAATCAATTTATTAATAAACATGAAAATTATACAAAGTGACATGAACTGAAATTCCTCACTCAACCGCCTACCATCAAGTTCTTTAACTAGTTTAAAACTATTATCGATATGACTATCCGCCTTAGGAATTGTTTTAATGATAATACAATGAAGAAACACTGCCAATGAATATAAAGGACTGTTTATCGAACAAACTATTATTATACGAAAGGGGCATTCCGCTTATGTATCTTCCGAAAAGCGTAGGCCATCGGAAGTATCCCGTCATTACCAGGGAATGGAAAGTTACTTTTTAAAAGTAACAAGTTACAGTTACTCGTTACCGAGTAGGAAAAGTAACAAGTTACCGTTACTAGTTACCGATTTTTAAAAGTAACTCGTTACAGTTACCGTTACTTGAGAAAGTAACTTTTCGTTACTTTTCCGTTACTTTTTTTTAAATCGACGACCAACAATCA